TATATTTTGTTTGAATTTAAATTTTCAATGTTAGTAGAATTTAGTCTTAACTAAAATTTAGGGTTACTTCTAAAGTTGATCTAAAAATAAAATCATTAGTATGATAAAGTATTGATGAATGTTGGATTTAAAAAAAACATATAAAAAATAAAATATAACTAGGTGGTCATTCAAAAAAATTTTAAAAATGATAAGAAATCTCCGAATATCCGAACCGAACCAAACCGAGTCGAACCGTTTCGATAGTCACGAAAACCGAACCGAAAAATAAAAATCTCCGAACCGGACCGAACCGATTTTTTGATACGGTTCTGGAGATCGAATTTTAGTGATCTCCGAACTTCGGTTCGATTCTGGAGATTTATCAATCTCCGAACTGTACCGACCCATGCTCATCCCTAGCCACAACAGACTGAGAGCGATCGAGAATCTGAAGGCTTGGCGTGAAGAGATGTCTTTCGATGCGAGAGCTCTTCTCGACCAGACCGGGCTGTCACATTTGGCCGACTCCATGCACATCCACTTGGACACCCCACTCCTTTCTACCTTTGTGGAGCGATGGCAGCCGGACACCAACTTGTTTCACTTGCCTTTTGGTGAAATGAGCATCATGCTGCACGACGTCCGGGCCATTTTGGGCATTCCTGTGGAGGGAGCCGTGGTCGCTGAGGACCCGGATTCGGAAGCCTGCCATGGGCTCTGCATGTCGATACTTTCGGTCACCAAGGGCGAACTCATGAGTTCGTTCTGGCAGCGTGGTTCGGTGTCCGAAGCCACCTTTTCGAGGGCATTCAGGGGGAAAGGCCGGCCGACTAGGGAATGAGGCGGGTGCCTGGATGTGGGTGATGCAGGCTACCACATTGTTCGTCGACAAGAGTGGTAGTAGAGTGACCCCCAAGCTCCTGCTCGACGGCTTAGATTTGATTGGGGGTTACTCATGGGGATCGGCTATGCTGGCATACATGTACAGACAGCTAGGTATTGCTAGTCGAGGGAACTCTGCCCAGATGTCGGGCTGCTTGACTCTTCTGCAGTCTTGGATATATGAGTATTTCCCCGATTTCCGACCCCGGGGGCGTCTACCCATCGGTCCTGACTGTCTCGCACGATCACGCTCGTGGAGCGTAGGGAGTGCGCCACGGTCAGACGATCGGCTCACAGCCATCCGTCGGCGCCTCGACAGACTCACTGCCTCCGATGTATTATAACATAAATATTATAACATATTTTAAGTTCTAACAATAATATTTAGCATTATTCTAATAATTAAAAATACTTTTTATCCAGTCAATTAATTAATATACTTTTTATTTATTAATATAATATTTTATTGTTTTAAATTATATTAATTCTTTTTTACAAATAAATTAATTAATATAAATTTTTTTATTAATATATTAATTTTTTGTTTTAAATTAAAATAATTATAATTTTAAATTATAATTTATAATTTTTCATTATAATATAATATCTTAACAAATTAGTCATTTATCTACCGGAATTATCTCTCTAACAAACTTGCCACGTTTTTTGAAATTAAAATGATATGACTAATATAAATATTATTGATTTATCTCTTTAATAAATGTTTATTATTTATTTTTTTCCTTACGTGACATAATCTAAATTTGGTTATTAGATTTTTAAATTCTAACATTTAAAGGAAAAGCACAAGTAGATTTTTTGGGCACATTTTAATTTATCTTAACTTCCATATAATCACATTCCTAACAAACTAATTAATACAATTACAATTATTTAACTAGAATTTTAAAATATAATTATTATAATATTTTAACTAATTAAACTTTTGTCTAACCGAATTTATCTAATTAATAAACTTGCCAAAATTATTCTTACGGGTATACTTACCAGAATATTAAACACTTTAAAAACTTTTTGAAAACAATTTTAATTATTCCGTCTTCTACTCTATTTGAAATTCAAAATTAAAATTTTAAACATATTAATAAACAAGATAATTAGTATAATATTTTTTTATCCACATTTATATAATCGTATTTCTTAAAATATAGTTAGTTTAATATTTTAACTCTTTAATTATTTGTATAACTTGATTTAACACATTAATCATTTTTTTTCTCATGAACGTATGTTCTCAAGCTTTCGGGACAAGCTCGTTCTCTTGAGTCGACCCGTCAGGCTCCCAGGAAAACGAGCCTGTCTCGAAGCGTAGGTGTAACACCTCGCCATTTCTAACTTTTACTTACGAAAAACTGAGTAAAATTTTCGCGTTTGTATTCGAAAGATGCCCATACTGTTTTCGAAAAATACTTATACTTAACTAACTCACAGAATGTTACTTACTTAATAACATTCAACATAAACATAAAACATAGTACAGTACGGAAGCGTAAATAAAATACAGTACAGTCTGAAAATTATATTATTACATGCCAACATAAACATAAACATAATTGAATGTCCAGCTGTCTTCGGACACCTCCACACCACCGCTCGGCTCACGCTCCGACTGGACTCCGTCACCTGAGAAAAACATAATGGGAGCGTGAGCAAAACCACTGGAATCCGGCTCACGTTTGTTTAGTGGATTTATTCAACTTATTATTATTATAATTTATAAGTATTATTATAATTATTACTATTAATTATAATTATATTCGAAATTATTATTATTATTATAATTTCTAATTAATTCTAATTTATAAATATTATTATAATTAGTATAATTAATTTTAATTATTATGAAAAATTATTATTTTAATTATT